AGAGCAGATTCTGCTGCTGTTGCTGCTTTCCACTGTTTCTTCTTCTTTTTGCTTTCTCATAACAACTATTTACTTTACTAAAGTAAATCCAATCCCTGCAGTGAAGTTGCTCTGAGGGCAACCGAAAGGGACTTTAGGGAATTCAGTCAGACAATCAGGAATTCGGGCGTGCAGGTCATTTGCTCTTCCATTCTCCCTGGTGATGGCAGCAATATAGGAAAAAACAGAAGGATACAGTCCATCAACACGTGGCTCCATGACTGGTGTCACTGCCACAACTTTGGGTCTTTTGGCAACAGGAAGCCTTCCATGGCAGCAGGCTTAGTGGCATCCAATGGGATCCATCGTTCTCAAAGAGGAGAAGGGCCCTGGCTCACGGGCTAGCATGGCTCATGGAGAAGGCTTTAAACTAGATTTGAGGGGGCTGGCACTGAGGAAGCAGGTGATAAGGTAGGTGACGGCCTGCCATGCCACTCACAACAGCCTAACTCCAGAATCTGTGAAGGGTGTCCAAGGCCTGGGGAGGCTAAACAGCAAAATAAGGGAACTTCTGAGGGCCTGCACAGCCAAGCTGCAGCTGCCCCAGCTACAATGAGAAGGACGTTGGGAGCCCAACCCAAACACCTTTATGTAAACGCACGCAGCATGGGGAATAAACAAAGGGAACTGGAGATGCGTGTGTGGTTGCAGGGCCGTGAGCTCATTGTAGTTATTGAGACATGGGAGGACAGCTCTCATGACTGGAATGTGGCCATGGAGGATTTTAGGCTTTTCTGGAAGAGCAGGCCTGGAAGGCAAGGCGGTGGAGTTGCTCTTTATGTGACAGAACAACTGGAATGTGTGGAGCTCAGCATAGGGGAGGATGGAGCGCAGGTCGAGAGCCTGTGAGTGAGGATTAAAAGGCAGGCCAACAGGGGTGACACTGTCATGGGAGTTTACTACAGGCCTCCTGACTAGGATGAGGAAGTGGATGAGGCTTCCACAGGCAAGAAACCTGTAAGAAGCCTCCCAATCATAGGCCCTGGTCCTTATGGGAGACTTCAACCATCCTGATGTCTGCTGGAATAACCAGGAGTGTGGCCAGCAGGTCAAGGGAGGGGATCCTGCCCCTCTACTGAGCTCTGGTGAGGTTGCACCTGCAGTATTGGGGGCAGTTCTGGGCTCCCCGGGACAAGAGGGACATGGAGCTTCTAGAGAATGTCCAGCAGAGAGCGACAAAGATGATTAAGGGACTGGAGCATCTCTCGTATGAGGAGAGAKTGAGTGAGTTGGGCCTGTTCAGCCTGGAGAAGAGAAGGCTGAGAGGAGATATGATCAATGTGTATAAGTACCTGAGGGTAGAATGTAGGGAGGATGGGTTCAAGCTCTTCTTGGTGGTGGCCAGTGACAGGATAAGTGGTAGTGAGTACAAATTGAAACACAGGCAGTTCCATCTGCATGTGAGGAAGAACTTCTTCCCTGTGAGGGTGCCAGAGCCCTGGCACAGGCTGCCCAGAGAGGTTGTGGAGTCTCCTTCTTTGGAAGGAAGAAAAAAAGATCTTCAACACCCTTCTGGATGCCACCCTGTGCCACATGCTCTAGGTGACCCTGCCTCAGCAGTGGAGTTGGACTGGATGATCTCTAGAGATCCCTTCCAACCTCAATCATTCTGTGATTCTGTGAGGTTGTCATTGTTACTATCCTAGAAGGAAAGCAGCAGACACAAACATTTTCCTGTGGGTCCTTAAAGCACGTTATATTTACATTTGGCAGCACCAAGATAATTTCTCAACTAGTTGGAAGATTTCAATGGGATGTGCCAAATGGGAGGAGATTAAGAAAACGTTTCTGCACGCAGTACAACATTTGGTGCTCTGGGGTGGGAAAGCCAAACTAACCCCCACCCCAGGAAAGGCAGGGTGAACTTGGCTCCCTGCCTGTCTCAAAAACAGAGATCTCCTTGATTTATCTACTGTGTAACAAGCTGCACTAGTGCTCAGTGCAAGACACCGCGGCAGATCTAGAGATGAGTGATGGAGTAGCTTCATCATAGCTTGTTGGGTGGATTGTCCATGTTTTTATGATTTATGACTTCCTCACTGAAGCTTTTCGAAGAAACAAGAATTTCCAGAATGAGGACGGGGTTGAGTTGTAGCTGGAGAGCAGCAGTTCTGACAAGTCTCATGACCATGTGATAATAAATGTGATCCAACAAACTGCACAGGTAACCCTTTGGTSTCATTAAAATACATGTGCATCCTTGCAGGAAGCCCAAACGCTGGGAAAATAGCCCAGTGCTTTGACAGCCGGGGTAGCAAACRTTAGGCCTCACAGGGACAGGCTACGACCTGCCAATGGGCCCCGTGGCTCCCACCGCCACTCGTGTGGGTCGCCGTGCAGAAGTACAGCGTGGCTGAGAGACAACGGCAAAAGAAAACCCATCGGCAGCCAACACACGTCCTGGCTGCACAGCTCTTGTTTCACTCTGCACCGTCAGGTAACAGATGCAGTCAGAACGGCTGCACTAGGCGGGAGCCTTATAAAACAGTAAAAACAATATAAATGCGCTTTTAATTGCCCACTCCATTTAAATTGCTTTATCCTGTGCAAATTCATTATTTCTGGGAAATTTGGCCCAAGCTGTTGCAGTAGTTGGTAAAGTTTGCCGACGTCTATGAAATTTTAGCTTGCAGCAGCAGCCACCCGGGGAGGTCTCTGCTCAGCCAGGCTAGAGCATCCCCGTTGAGCCGGGCAAACCTGCCGGGGCGCCGGGTCCTTCCGCGTCCTCCACGGGAGAGGCGACCGGCGGCACCGCGACGGGGCCTCTGCCCGCGCCCTCCCGCTCAGCAACCCGGCGGGCAGCAGAGAGGAGGGTCGAGAAGGGGCCGCCCAGGCCGGGCCCAGGTCAGGGCCGGCACAAAGGGGTTGACGCGGGGGCCCAAGCGCACRCGGGGGCTGCAAAGAGAAGGTCCCGTTTGCTGCTTTCGTGTTTTAAGACTTTATTTGTCTAACATGCTTGACCAGAAATTACAACAACAATCAAGTTATGCCAAAATGATTAAATAACCTCTTAAGCTTCCATACCTCAAGTACTTTAAATGCTATTTTGAAGTAACAGCTGCTTTCATATCTTTTTTTTTTTTTAATTCCACATAAAAATACACAGTATTTTGAAGATACCTTAGGAAAAATTATTTTTAAGAGAATAGTTTATGGTTGACATAGAAATTTCATTGAGGCTATTAAAAGGCCCTCTTCCCCTCACTTTAGCATTTTAGTACCTTAAGTGCCATGAGTGAATGTAAACATTTCAGACTTCTTTAATATATAGCCAATTTCCTGCCACATTTGTTCCAAAATGCCTTGAATTGTGACTTGCCAGGACACTTTTACCCCAGCGAYGGCCTGTTGTTTGTCTTCCCAATGACGGTCACAATTTCGGCTTTTTCCTAGGAATTTCAGCTCTTGCTGATTTAGGAACCATTCCTGCCGCTTCCCTAAGAGCAGCCTGTGCAGAGCAGCCCTGTGAGACACCTAAAGCCAGGAGCAGCGYGAGGCCTCTCGCTTTGCTTCTCACCTTGGGAAAAAGCCACCGATTTGCTTGGCTCCCAGGATCCTGACGGGCTTAGCGGAAGGACAGGTCCGTGCCTTGTCACGGGCTCTGGTTCCGGTGGGTCCGGAGCGGGAATTTGTCACGGGACTGAATCTCCCAGCTCCCAGCAGCGTCTGGAAGAGGAGCTTTCCCACATGGGAGACAGTGTTTCGGCCTCCACCTCACGTGGATCTGAGGCGCCTAGGCCTGGTTTTGAGAAACAAGCGTTTTAAACTGCAAGTGCCTCTAACTGCTGCGTGAAGCTCCCGTTCACACCCGCACACGTGAAGAGGCTGAAAGCGGGACAGGCAGCTGTGCAGGCTGCGCGTGCAAGCCGGGCGCCCGCCGGCCAGCGACTCGCGCGGACAGCGCGGCGATCCCCCGCACGGGTGGGACAYGGGCTAACGCACTCGCAGCCAGCCCCAAACGGGGGTGTCTGTGCTCAGGATACAGCCCTCAAATCCCCTCTGTTAAGGCAAAAAGGGCTGCTTTCGATTTCTTTGAACTGGGAGCAGTCTGACAGCGCAAGGCAGAGGCCCAGGGCCTAGAGGGCCTTTGAAGCTGTGTGGGGCCCAGCTTGTAGGCACCCACGTGTCCTCGGCACCCACTGCGCTTGGCCACCACACGGCTCTGTGAGGAGAGCGGGGCCCAAGCGCTGCCGCCGAGTCCGTGGAGCTTCCGCTGGGACGAAATCGCCTCCAGGACATCCCAGCACCTCCAACTGGGGCCAGATTCAAATCAGGAATCGCATCATTGGCTGCATTGCCCAGGAGCTGGTTTTAACAAAAAGTCCCACTGGATTTTACTTAAAATACTGAAAATAATTGGGTTAATTGTTTTTTCTTCTTTTTACATACAATCACATTGCCTTACCATATGAAAACACAATTATACTTTTTTCTTCCTATTTTTTTTTTAAGGGAAATGTCATCGTTTTTCACAGGCGAGGCCAGGTTACAAATTCCTGAGTTTATACTGCACTTAACACAGTCTCCCTTCTTGAACGTTGAGCTGTTTACAGCATGCCAGCAACGTGCACCATTTCCCTCACCATCTGCAATGACAGATGTAGTAAAACTTCATTCAAAASTTCAGAACAGCGAATTAGGGCCTCTCTCGCACTGGTTTTGAAAAGATGTGAAGACATCGGCCTGGAGGACGTGGAAGGGCAGCTCTCCTCTGGTGACAGGTCGTTCATGCACCATCCTTTACATTTGCCACATTAATTAAGGGGAAACATCTTCACCACCACTTTTCTTTGACCAAGAGCTCACTGGGAAACATCGGAAATGAGGACATCCTAGTCTAAACCCTTATGTTTAAACTTTCTTAAAGAACCATTCATTTCAAAGAGATGGTTCTAATAAGTCCAGTATAACGTGTGTATATACAAAAGTCCCTACTTGATATATATATATGCGCATATATATATATATGGAATGCATTCACTTTTTCTGTGTTCACAAATATTTTAACGGTGAAATGCTAAAGTCTTAATCTGCTTCTGGCAGGTAACGGCACCAAAATGTCTTTGTTCCTCATCTGTTTTTGTCACTCAAATTTATCTCTGAAGAACTAACAGGGAAAAAAAGAAGAAAGTTTTGCTTTTTTTGTTGTTGTTGAACAGTTCCCAACCGGGATTCTCCGCCAGCAATACAAAGTTGCTTATGTGTGGAGCACGACACGGAACCTATCCAACAATCATGTGTTCCTTGGCGTGGGCAGGTCAATGACTATGGGCGGGTTGAGAGGCTGGTAGTTCACAGTGCACACGGACGCGTTCACGTAGGTCGTGGTCCCGTCGGCCATGACGCCGTAGCCTGCAATGAAGAAGAGCTCTGGTTACTCTCGCGAGTCACTTCTATCCCACAGCGAGCCTGAGCAGCGCTCGGGAGGGTGGGGAAACTTCTGCCCATGCACAAAGGGGTGTTTCCCAGGGCTAACAACATCCTTGCCCAACGTGGAACTGTCTGCAGCCCTTTGCATTCTGTAAGAAAAATGAAATTGACTCTCAGGTGCTTGTGGCCTGGCAGCCTGCTCCCAAATCTCCTTAGAAATAGTGTTCTTCTTCTTTGCAAAGCTTTCTTAATTTTCTCATTTTTGGAGGGGATGGGAAAATAGAACTTAGACAGTTTCAGCATGGTCAGAACCTTATTTCTGATCATTTATGTTTGTAGTCATTAAGCCACCAAACTTTGGGCAACCATCATTTTTCCCCACCGATTTCTGTCCTATGTTGTACTTTTTTTGAAGTGACCCATGAAGGGAAASACCTGTGTGACATAGCCAGGTAGTCATTCCCAGGTAGGGAAGAACTTTCCTACTACATTCTCTGAAGAACACAGTGAATTCACACGCCGAGACACCATAATATTTTCACAAGACAAAACATTGTCTAAATGTCTCAACTGTGGGGAAGAAGTCTGGTCTCTTGCCAGACCAGAYGTCTAAGTCAAAGAATTCCAGAGCAAAATTTGCAGGAACTCAAACTCTGTCAACTCAACTGCTTGGAGAAATACAGCCAAGCGCTGCTTCAGAATGTGAAGAAAAATCCTTTCAGCTGCCCTGGCATTATGGAGAAGTGAACATAGTCCCTTCCTTGCCAGAGAAGTTTACATGAAAGACTAGGAAAAAAACCCTCAGCTTCATTACACTAAAACTAGAGGCTTGATATTGGGAACTTGCATGGAAACAAATGCATGCCTGYTCATTATGACAAAACACATTCACAATCATAAATATATGACATTGGGGAAAAGCTTTGGATAGAAAGCTTTGGAAAAAAGGTTTGATCCCACTATTAATGAAGTTAATGGTGATATGTTTTAATTGCTATAAACATACACTAAGTAATACAGCTATTCCTATCTCAGGTATCCAGGATCCTAGAGGTTTTCAGAGGGCAATTTCATGTCTTACAGAAGCCTTGTTAGTTGCAGGTTTTACACACCAAGAAAGAGTAGCCACATTCCTTTCTTCTTCCCTCCTGAAAATATTCTGAATAATGCAAGGCCTCCTGGACTCCCCRTGGGAAAAACATACACAATAATTAGGTTCTGGGGAGGGAGGAAAACTCCGTGGGGCTCCTGTCACAGACATTTCTTCGAGTTGCTTGCTGCTTGCCACGGAACAACTGTTGTGTGCAAAGCGCCACGGCGGCTGCCGTCGCTGCTGGGACTTCTGCTCGCTCAGCTACGTGTTTGTAGAGAAAAAAATCACCCTGCTAATGCGCTGCCTTAGCTGGGAGGTTCACGGAGCGGCAGCGCTGCTCTTCCCCGCTGCCGGGGGGAGTTTCCTTTGCCAAGACCCCCGGCAGGGCCCGGCTGAAACGGGCAGTGCAGGAGCGCAGCAGGAGCCCCTCCGTGGGGCACCAGCAGCGAGCCCAGGAGCCTGGGGCACCGCGGGGGCCGAGGCGGCAGCGCAGAGAGGACACCGGGAGGAAGCAGCCCTTCCTGCTGTGCGTGTCGCCAGCGGTGCCGCGGATGCCRCGCGGCCAGGGAGGAACTCACTCCCGCTGCTGGGAGCCGCTTCCTTCGCATGGGCATCTGCGGTGGGAATCCTCCTCGGCGGGGATGGAGCAGCCTGCAGCAAACCAGGCTGGGCACCCCTCCTTTGCTCTCTCTAAACCATGATAATTTACAAGAAGAGCACCCTGCTTCTCTGTTCTCCTACCTTCGGCGCCAATGGTCGATTTCAACCGTTGATGGCTTTGTAGAGGCTCCATTCTCCTTTCTTGGGAGCCGAAGCTGGGCTTGATCTAAGCCGACRGAGTTTGGTTTACCTGCCCGAAGCTCCATGGACTGGTAACTGTTTGCTTTGATCCCCCGAAACTCACCTGGTCCACGATTTCCAAGAGGACAATGAATGTGAACTGGGTTCACTGGCTCTTGTGTATGGATCCTTCAAGATTGCTGCCATGGCAAGGGGATAGGAAAAAAATGCTGTCTACGCCCTGATTGTTTCATCTGTACTTCTAACAGTACTTTGGACATTACTTACCTTAATGGGTCACAACAGATAAAACATATGAGGAGATAGATTTAATCCCTGTCCCATAAAATAATGATCTGAAGGTCCTCCTCCACCCGTTTTACACTGGTACACCTCTAACCAGTGCCACTTCTGACCTAGCTGGGTAAAAGTGCCAAGCAGCAAGTCTGAGTGAGATTTGGGGGGGAAGGCTGATGGTTCTGGTCAAAACCACAAGTATCTGAGTGCCAGCTACTGCAGTATTTCCTTTTGTGCACTTCAGCTCTGGTGAGAACCACAGATATCCTAAATCAAAGGTTGGAGCAGTCCCAGCGGCAGCCAACTGGCAGCTGTGGAGCACCTTTCCCTGCCAACATCAAAGCTGAAGCCTGTGAAGTGCCTCCCCACCCAAAACACTTTTACCTGTTTTACAGCTGCTGAGACTGGGACATGGAGCACGCACTTACCTGAGTTTTTTCAAGTCACAGAGAGATTTAGCAGAGGAAAACAGAATCCACCAGTCCTACGATTTAATCACTTTCTATAACTACTGGGCTTGTGTCCTTATTTTAAAATTCATAGCAGTTCTTACTGTGAAGGAACCACCATCCTATTTTATAGACATGGAAACTGAAAAAGAAGCTGAGGTGCAAATAGTGAAATGTGGGTATCAGCAAATTTCCTCTGTATGTCTATATGAAGCCAAATAACTGATCTGAATTTCTGAAGTGCTTCAGTTCAGGTGTTCAAGTTTGAAAATGCTGGTTTGAGCAGGCAGTTTCCATGTTCACAGTTTTAAGTACAAATATAGAGAAACATTTTCTAACCTTCGTGGATATGTCCAAAAACATGAAGCCTTGGCTGTATTCGTCTCTGGACCGTGTTCAGCAGCTCAACACATCCTACCCGTTGCATTTTCTTAGGAACCCAGTCTAGAAAACCTTTGGAAAAGAAAGGAAAGCTTTAAAAGAAGTCAGATTATCTGCAGGATGTTACTGCTGCAGCATTCAGAAACGTTTCTGAGGTTTAATGTCTCCCAGCTTTTCATAAGCACTCACAGACGAACTGATGGAAGGAAAAAAACAGTGATTTTCTTGGTCAATAGAAGGAGAAAGAAAGAAAAATATTTGAAGAAAGAGTTAAGACCTGATCAAAAAAAAAAAAAAAAAAAAATCATCATTCTTGCCAGGTGTTTTTGTAAGGGAAAGAAATCACTGCAATTAAAGCATCTTTGCACTTCAGTTGGCAGCAGAACTCGAGACTACATCCTTCCTTCTTCCTTTAAGAGGCTGAAGAGTATGGAGCAGTATGTCCAAAGTGCCTGTCTAAAGTCAGGCATCTAAATTGACATTTAGCTCTTTAAATCTAATCCTAGATTCTAGTTCTGAAAATGAAGCACTTTGTCTTTAACTTTTGGATTTGCTGCTGCTAAGAGTCAAACTATACAGTTATCACATTGAATCTTAACATGAGTGGAACTTGGGAAAGGGATCCATACGGTGCCCAGAAACAATATCCTCAGCAACCAGTAATGCTGGTGTTAAGAGCTCCATGACACAGCAAACCACACTAGCCTAATGTATGGACTTCAGGTAGCAATGGACTTTAGGTAGCAGGAGTCCTTTTGCAGTAGGCATGTTTGTAAGTGCTATATTTATTTGCATAAAGTTCTTATCACAGAATACCTTTTTTTATGAAGACAGACAAAAATATTCATCAACTTGCTCAGATTTTTAACATTGTGACTTCAGAGGGATACTCCCTGCCACCTAAAGCCCTGTGTTTCCTGCTGCCCCATTCAGCTGGTTGCACAAGGAGGATGTTGCTGCTTTGGAGGGTTTGGCAACAAACCCTCACACAGGTGAGGGTACAACAGGTGTAACATAACAAAAACAGGTGTTTCTTGCTTTTTTCTCTCTCTCTTTCTATTGCCTTGCCATTTTTTACCAAACTCAGATCTGTGAACATTTGTAATATCGGAGCTGAGTCCAACTTTCAAAAACTATTTAGGGATGCAGTGTCCCAAGGGTCAAATAGAAAAAATTCTCTTRATGGACTTAGACTCCTAATTCATTTGGACACTGTTGAAGATGCCAGCTTGGCTCCTGAGGAATTTGTGTCCAAAGAGAAACTGCAGCTAAGCTCCAGGCAGAGGAGAGCAAAGTTTAAGTCCAGAAATTGATTCTACTTTTGTTCTCCAAAGCAGTTCAAAATTCAGTGTACAAAATACTAGCTTTAAGATGTTAAAATGAGCCCGGCAACTCTGCCAGAATCCTCTTCCTGCCTTTTTTTTTTTCTTTTTTTTTTTTTTTTTTTCAGAATAAATGCATTCTAGCAAACTCCAGGTTTTGCTATTTCAACAATTTGAAACAGTTAATTGTCAGAATGGCTGTGGTGAACATAAAGGCAAAAGTATTTCCACTTCAAAAACTTTGCAAACAAAAATCCATAAAATTAACTTCTCCATTAAATTAAGCATTATTTGTGTTGAACATGTTTTTGTTTACATGCATTATCACCCTTCTGAAGCTTTCCCATATGTTTGCAGCTTATTATACACACCTGACTACACAAACTAAGAATAATTGATTACACCTAGCTAACAATTAGAGTTCATCTTAGGGTTTTTTTAATGTTTGGTTACTTGAAACAGGTTTCTGCAGCTGTCAGGAAAGTATAAATCTTTCTCAGACAATCAGGCAGACAGCTACAAATGAAGACTTAAGGGTGAGATTAAATTAAAAACAAAGAAAGAAAAGGAAAGTGAACTTTTTGAAGAGAAATAAAAGAATCTTAAATGTAGATATTTAAAAGTCAAGGAGAGGACTTTAAAAGTTACTCTATGTATAAAAGAAACAAACAAACAAAAAATGCAGATATAGAACTGAACATTAGCTCAGATGCTATAGTCCTGAGTACTACAGTTCATAAGCTATGAAAATGTGGCATATCTTTATTAATAAACAGGTTACCAATAAAATGGTCATTAATAGCTGTTTAATCTTGGTTTGCTCATGCTGTGTGAGCTTCCTGCCTCTATTTCATCCCAAAGCACTGCTCTAAAAAAGAAAACAAAAAAAAGGAAGCAGTTGTGGATCAGATTTTTGTTATGCACCTAAGTGACTTAGAAACACAAAAATTATTAACTCTTAATGGTGCTTCTGCGCAGGCCAATTTAACATTTATCTAATAACATGTATTAATCAGGTTAGGAGGATKTGTGCTCTTTTGAAGTGAGGGAATGAGAAAAACAGCCCACAAAAGCAGATGATGGACAGAACCTAGGCAGCCATGCCGGAGAAGAAGAGGGCTGATTGCTTTTTATGATCATTAAGAACAGCCCTAGCGATGCTGTCCAAGATCAGAACAGCAGTAATCAGAGCTCTGGTTAAAATAATTGGCTGGGAGGGTCAAGGCAGCTCCCACCTCCCCAGACGTCTGAAGACACAATAAGGAGGTCCTGTCAGTAGGCAAGAGTGCTAATTTCTTTTGAAGCACCATCTTTGTGTGCTCTGGGTGCCAGGGATACCACCAGCTGATGCCCCCAGGCGGAGTGTTCTGTGCCTCTGCCATCTATTAAAACATCAATAAGAAGAAGACAAAGAAACAGGAACTTTTTAAAAAGAAAATCCTTGGAGGATGGTTCAAGCTGAAGGAAAAAAACAAGAACAAATACTGAGACAGAGAGGGGGGTGGGGGATTAATGTTATCTAGTTATAGTTAGTGGAGATAGGAGGCTCCTCCTCAGAGTTATTACAATTATTAAATTACTCCTTTATTATTGAATTTACTGTTAAGTTTATTATTGCAGCGTGGGCTCTGCTCCGCTCTCCGGAGACGCTCTTTCCCCCTGGATCCGACAGGCTTGGTTAGCAAGGTGCCCGGCCGGCTGCAGTCGACCCCACTCTCCCCCTCACAGGCTCTAGATGGAGGGATCTTCTTTGAACGAGCTGAAGTTGGGATTTCTCTAATCAGCCGAAGCAGCTGCTTTTAAAAATGGGCTTGAAAATACTGSTATTTTTTCTGCTAATGGTTTAAAAATCTACAACATAAACAAAATGATATCAAAGACCCGGAGTTACCACTCAGGCCTTGTATCCTCTAGGGATTAAGCCCAGTACTAATTATTCAGAGCTGACATCTGGGGGGCTAAACCATCCATTTCTGCCCTCCACTTTCATGATGCAGGTCCCATATTAAAACCAATCTATGGTGTGGAAATAGGTTAGGAGGAGCATCAAAACCCTCGCCCTCATTGTGCAAAGCCGCGCTCACAAAGAGGCCCTTTCCCCTAGGATTAGTGAGCACTGGAATGYAACCCTGTCTTTCCAAAGGAGAATAAAAAAACCCACAACACTTTTATATACTTTCTCCTCCAAATTTTGAAAGAGGAGAAGAAAGGGTGGAAGACAAGAGGGTTTTAGCTTCAGGAAATTGGGGGCTGAAGGGAATCTAAAGATTTAAAGGAGTAACGAGCCTTCATCTTACACAAAGCACTCCTGCACTATTAAGTATACCCTTAACATGCCTGTTCAGTTATTAAACTATTGAGTGTTAAGTGTATTTACGTTAAATTTAACAGGTTATATATTAAATATGTTGAAAAATAGGTTAAAAGCCTGGCGTGGCAAATATTTCTCTGATTATTTTATTTCTGTAACACAGACCAAATGACTATTATCTTGGAATACGAGATCTCTCTGCCAGCATGCTTTTATCTATTTTTTATGCTTTATGTATTATTATTTGCAAGACACAAATGCAAGACCACTGCTTGTTGATCTGTTAGTGCTGCCGGACTCCACTACAGACAGGCAGTTCACCCCTCACACCCCCAAAGAACAGGCAAAAACCAGCACCGTTTGGGTTTGTGAGCTGCAAGATGATACTTCAAGTCAGCATGAGGAGCAGAAGGACGAACTCTGGTACCGGCTGGCAAGGGAAAACTACAGCAAGTAGGAAAGAAAGCCAGTGGTACGAAGAGCAGGTAGGAACCTTGGGCCTGATCCTGCATTTCTCTCCATGCGGGCTTTAGGTCTGCTGATTTCATCAGTGGCAGAGACGCGGATAAATACGACCTTGCTTATTTACAAGGCTAATTAAGGCTTAATTTATTAAGGCTTTCCTTCTTAAGAGCTGATTTAGTTCCCTACCGTTGTGCATAGGTAACGATGAAGCACAAAGTGGAGCTGCGCTGCACGACTCGGTAGAGATGCTGCCCGTGCCTTGGGCAGAGCCAGGGTTCCCTGGTCACCAGCTACTGCACAACCACTGCACAGAGACAGCTAACAGCACCAATGTTTTCTTACCGAGAGGTGGTCCGTGTGTAATAAGAATATCTATTCCATCTGGAATAAGGTTCCATTTCTCTAATAGTGCTTGGCCTCGTGGAAGATTAAAGCCCCAGCCATAAAACCAAGGTTGCCTGCCAAGAGAGGAGGAGAATGACTTCAGTGCTACTCCCATGTATTGGTTACCTAATTAAAACACAGAGATGGACTCTTTGCTAGCATGGAATTTGGAGACACAAATGGCATTCATTTTCTTATTTCTATGCACAACAAAATCCTCTTTCCATACGGCCTGTGTTATTTAACATGTGTGGAAAATCCAGTGTCGTTCTTACCAGTTTAAGCAGGCAACATACAGGAAAATATTCACAGTATTCCTCGAGCTAGATGAGAAGTAACTATTAAAAGACCAGGATAGCAGGATGGCCAAGCACTGGATCACTGTGCTGGACTCCCAAGGTATCTGTCTTAGAGAGCTAAGTGTGGACATAGGTTTCACATGAACTCATTTCATACCCCTGAGCCCATGACCCACTGAGCGAGGATAGACCCTGGCACGGCAAATACCATTACAAATTTGGAGACATCATCTGTGCTCCTTTGTTTTCCAAATTGGAAGCATCACATCAGAAGAAGAATACCGCTTCTTTTCTTAAATATAGCTTTCCTATGTCCTGTAGTGTGTTGACTTGCTCATAAATAAGACTTTACATATTCAAAAATTGCTTATCAGACAGGCATTTACATTTTTAAAAACATATTTATGGAGCAGCTCATCACASAGCAGTGGGACTGTAACAATGCCAGTCAGAATATAATTTATCTGCATGCTGCCATCCCATTGATTAAAAAACTGTATTTCACAGCAATTATATCACAGTGGTAAATTATGTCTTGCTGACTATGCTCTAATTCTAGGTCATAAAATTGAGGGGTTAGTTTTAGGTTATATATATTTTTTTGTTTTAACTTTTTAACTTTTTTGACTGAYGTGTTCCGGCCACATTCGTATTTGGAGAGCAACAAATAGGCTGCTGTGATTTAATAAGGTTTATGATAATTGCAGCCTGAGCATTTATAAATACATACACATCAACCAAAGTTCCCTTTGAGCCATTACTTTGTTGAAGAAAGCTTTACACTCCCTCTGCATCAAAAGGCAGGAAGAAAGATCCCTTTTAAAGAAATCCTCTGAACTCCTCTTTACATCATGTATGGCAAAGACAAAAGAAAATGCCCATAAAGCTATTATTCATCCTCTTCCATTACTGATGCTTGACTAACATTGCAAAAATTAGCATGTCTGCAGTCTCCGTGATGATATATTTCCCACTTCCTCTTTCGGGATGCTGCAAAGCACATGTCGATTGAAAACAGCTTAAAAATACCCAGCTTGCTAAAATAGAAAGGGATGTGGCTTACCCGAGGCAAGAGAAGAAAATGCTGGTAAAAGGCAAGGCAGAAGGGGGGTTTGCAGACAGGCAACTTCACTTCCCTCACTTGTGACATTGCCCTCCTCACTCTTGGTCCTGCCAACCCCTGAGCAAGGAAACATCCCAGCAAACCCCTGTGGCACTTCACCTGCCTGCCTCTGGCACCGGGAATGTATCTCCAGAGGCTGGGAACGGCGAGGTGAGAAGAAGAGCTGCCAAAAGCAGTGGCACTGGGCTGGAAACTTTGTTGTGGGTCGGGCTGCTGCGAGCAGGGGAGCTCGAGCGGAGCGGCGTTACGCGCGGCTCACCAGAGCGGCAGGAATTTTACCTCACAGGGATGCTCTGAAAAATAAATAAACCAAAGCCTGCGAGGCGCATGGGTGCTGCAGAAGTGGGGAGGTTTATAAAAATATGCACAGATTCTCAGGCTTACATAKCGCCGCTTAAGTGCTGAGCAGTTACCTGCACCAAGATGAAAATGTTAAGCAATTTGGCGAATTGCATTGAGGCCGAGAGTGCATTTTCCAGGAGCAAAACATCACTGACAGAAAACACTGGTGAGGGCAAAGAGGAAAGAGGCACACACAGTGTCGGCAGGGTAAATGCCAGGGTAAATGTCGACTGGCCAGTGCCACTGGGGAAGAAGCCCATGTTTCCGTAGGGAAGGGGCAGGATCCGCTCCTGGAGGCGAGAGGCACGGTCCCTCCTTGTGCCCCAGCCCGGGTCGCCCCCCGGCTCCGTTGCGGCGTGGGGCACTTGCCGTCACGCCGCCTCCTGCAGCAGCCCCGGGCTCGGCAGGAGCCTCCGGAGCATCCCTGGCACAAAGGGGAATGCCAAGGAAGGCTGCGGCCGAAGATGCTGCCTCYTTTGCAGGCAAGGGAAGAAAGGAGAAGCACTCACCTCAGGGGAGCCCCGGAGATAGAACCATCTTTGGGATCCCATAGGGATTTTGTGGACCCCAAGTTTCTCCCTCTGCAATGCTACTGCAAAACAACAGCCTTCAAAGTTTCTGAGCAGGGAAAAAAATCTTTAATACCCATGAAAAAGTCTGTGCCCTAGACACCACGGAAAGGCAACTTTGTCTAAAATTTCCATTTATCTTGGAATTGGAAAATGAAATCTTAATTCAAGAACAGGATTTTTTGATTGCTCTTTTGGTGCTTGCTCAGGGAAAAGTACTTTTAAAAATAAATTTGCAAGAGCATGTCATAATTCACAAAGAAAATACTTTAGTATATGTCTCATAAGAGAAAAATCTGGTCTTCTCAAAACAAAAATGAGCCCAGAAAATGTAYTTGGTGATGAGGGACACACATCATGAACGTATTTCACCTCTGAAGTGAAGTGCTCATGTGCAGAAATGTATGTTGATTTAGGTTTTATCTGCTTAAAGTGAGCAGTGCGACTCTCACGATACCCCATTGAAATTCAACATATTAGTATTATGATAAGAATAATCACTGTCTACATATCAGGCTCTAGGGGAGAGATCTATTGGAAGCAAATTTGTTTACAGTACAATTAACCTTATGTTAAAAACATATGAGCAAGTTTTGCAGGTCAAATAAGCTACCATTCAAAAAGGGCTGAATTATCAGAATTTGTGCTGGCAATCGGATGTTGCTTTATGTACTGAATTTCTATCTTTCTGYTCTAAAGTAACCATTGGAATAATTTTCTTACAGAATGATAGTTGCTATGACAACCATAGCAAATTTTCCTTTTCTGAAACAGATGTCTCATTTAGTTGAAAATTAGAATGTGAAAAACCCATGGGAAAAATTAATTCAAACTTTAACAGAACACTGACTACAATGTAATCTCTTATAGGTTAACCCCTTAACATCTTTCTGCACTTATAGTAACCTTCTCATAAATTCTAATTAAACCAGCTTAACCTCCTATAACTGACCTTCTTAGCTATCATTAGCTCTTTAGCTATCATTACTTGTCTTTAAAGCGAACATCTCTGCTCCAATAAAAAAAAAAAAAGTCATACAAAAAAAAAAAAAAAAAAAAAAAAAAAGTGGCCAAACATCTTACTGCCTTAATTATTTATCCGTATTTCTTCTTTCATTCAGACACTACTGGACAGAGCTACCATGTAGTCTAAGCGCTCTTCTTTTGTCATTTAAATAGGGCACAACTTAGTTTTGCATGTGATTTACTGTAAAGGGCTGTGCTGCGCTACACAGTTTTGACCCGTAATTTATGTGAAAATCGAAGGTTTTTCCATTTTCCACCCCCTGGAATGCATCCCAATTTGCGCAGCAGGTGTACTGAAGAGGAGACAGAGATACTTGGCGAGGGGAAGTCTACTCGCGTGCACATATTTTTCTGTAWGGAGCGACAAGAGATTGAAATCTGATTGTTGGGTGCCTCGATTCAACTGCTTTAACCTAAAGAACTGGTTGCCTCCTCTCTGTGCGCTTGGGAGCTTGACGGGAACCTCCTCGGCTCGTGTTGGGCAGCTCCAAACGAGCAGCGTGGGCGGCTACGGGGCGGCTGAGACGTGCTCCCACCACGGTCCTGCTGGCTGCAAGGCACCACGAGAACTTCAGGGCTGCAAAACTGAGGGCGGCTGCTTCACCTGGGCTGCCCGGGTGATGGAGCCAGGGAACCCTGGCGACTCGGCGGGATAACTCGGGAGCGCAGCCCCATGGCTGCGCTGCTGTGGGTGGGAGAGGACTGCTATCAAAGGCATTGGTAGGCAACATCTGGCAAACATCTTAATAGCAAAAAATATATAACTAAAACACCACGGGCAGATTGTCGCATCTCCTCATTTCTGCGAAGTTCCTTACAGAAATCTTTTTTACTGTTGACATGCATATACTCTCACTCCACTTCTTTACCTAAAAAATGAATGTTAAAGGCTCACAAGGACATGTATCTCGTTCCAGTCTTTTCTCCACAACACTTATCATTTTTCTCCTTTAAGAAAGTAAATAGATACTGGCCAGTGATTTTGTAGGAGTTCAGAAGAAAGGAACAGACCAAATCAAGTGCTCCCCTGCATTATAATCGTACAGCTGCACTTCACTTGGCGTAACAATAAGATTGGGCTATGGGTCCTGAAAACCATATTGGCCAAGGTAACCCGTGATGAGATATGGGAATCAATCAGAATCAGCTGAGGCAATCACAGGTAAAGGAGAACTCATACTCRGAGATGGAGAAGCTGAATTCCAACACATGCTAATCCCCAGCTAGAAAAATCTCCCTGATGGATATTTCAGTCTAATTTTCCTCGTCTTGATTTTATCTTATTAATGCCAGTTACACTTCTATGAGCCACACTGACCACCTGCCTTGCTTGCTTGGTGTTCACATCCTTCAGGTGTTCGTTTTTTTATACTCCCTGACACTGTATCAGTTGTATTATAACYTGTCTCTATAATTAGGTGGGGTTTTTTTTAGTTCATTAAGTATTTCTGCTGCTCTGCTGCTCTTTGCTACTGGCAGCCTCAGTTTTCTCTCCAAGTAAGGATTCATGAAAGTGCATATTCTTTCTCTGGCATTGGTGGTTTCCACATCTAAAATAGCTGTGAAATGACACTATCCTGGCTTCTCACGTTCCAGAGGATTGTCCTAAACAGGCAAAAAGACTAAACTAGCTATTAGGCCATTTGTGCAAGGAGGCGCTCACAGACCACTGTTTGTTTATTCACTTTGAGCTGGTCTTCCTCTTGCCATGTGAA